TTGCACATATGAGGTACTGGGTTCAATCCTCAGCACCACATAAATAAATAAAATAAAGGTATTGTGTTCATCTACAACTTAAAAATAAGAAAGAAAAAGTACACTCAAAAGATAAAAATAATTTCACCATACAAAATAATAAAGAACTGGGCTTGAGGTTGTGGCTCAGAGGTAGAGTGCTTGACTCACACTCATGAAGCACTGGGTTATCAAACCCAGCACCACATAAAAGTAAAATAAACAAAATAAAGGTATTATGTCCATCTACAACTAAAAAATATTTAATAAAGAACTTAATTTGTGTTTTTCACTTGGAATAGTCTCTTGATTTTTCCCCAGACACATTTTACTCACCATAGATAGAAATTTTACCATCTTCATCTAATTGCAACATACCACACAGTATGTTGTAAATATGACCTGGGTTAGCCTCAGAAGTCAAGGGCGTATATATGTATGTATGTATCTAGTCTTGATCCAGATAGTAAAATGGCAACACATTGATATTCTAAAGTAAGCAAGCAAAGGAGTTTTGTGATCACCCTAAAATGTGTAACAAAGTCCAATAGTGCTTTTCAGTCCAGAGAGAGGCACTATTTAAAAAAAAAATAGACATTGATGGACCTTTATTTTATTCATTTATTTATATGTGGTGCTGAGAATCAAACCCAATGCCTCACACATGCTAGGCAAGTGCTCTACCACTAAGCTACAACCCCAGCCCCCAAAGCCATTATTTTGAAAGGCCCATCTCTAACTTCATTCACATTTTAGTTCTGATACCTGAATTGCTTTTAAAAAGGAGGAAAGAAAATGGAAAGATGCAAGAAATGGGACACATTTGGAAAAAATATCAAAATTAACCATTATTTTCAAATTAACATACTTATAAGCCTACAAATTGACCATTGATCATGGCAAATATAAGACAGTAGTATCATTTTGGTATATTACTTTTAATTTATTCTTTTTTTTTCTGTACTAGGGATTGAACCCTGGGGTCCTGTACTACTGAGCTATATCCCTACCCCTTTTTATTTTTCATTTTGAGACAGGGTCTTGCTGTAGGCTGGCCCAGGCTGGCCTCAAACTTGTAATCCTCTTGCCTCAGCCTCCCAGTGTTAAGATTATAGGTATGGGCCACCCTGCCTGGAAAATTTTGTACTTTTTTCTTTTTCATTCCTCTTAATTGGAAGAAAAAAAATTCCATCAGTACTTCAATGGCTTTCAAACTGTTATCCCAGATTCTGCAAGGATTTTCTGTTAAATTACTTGAAAAAATAATGTAAATTAAGATTGTAAATCTGGCACGGTGGGGGCATACCGGATCCCAGCAACTCAGGAGGCTAAGGCAAGAGGATCCCAAATTCAAGGCCGGCAATTTAGTGAGACCCTGTTTCAAAAAGTAAAAAAGGGTTCAGGATGTAGCTCAGGAAGAAGATGCCCCTGGATTCAATTCCAGTAAACACACACACACACACACACACACAGAATATTTTCAACAGGAGGAGGAACCCCTGGAATAAGATGAATTAGCACATACATCTGTGTCAGGTGCAATAAACTATTGACTCCAGGATGGATGTTTGTGAGCCAAAAGATGAAGTTACATAACTTATACCAAAAAAGGATCAGAGGATCATAAATTACATAAAATTTGATCAATGAGCTCAAGCTTAAAACTGTTCCCTTTGCTCTCAAGTTGCACATTGTTATCTAGTGACTTTTATCTGAATAAACAGATTTTGCTGATATTTTAGGTAGAAGGATTAAGAATAATTTTCCCCAGCTCTATTCCCACAACAAAGAGGGCCTACTTACCTGCTTTTGAGAACCAGTTGAATATCATAGCATTTTAGGAGCAAACTAAAGATTCACTTCAATAACTCCCACACCAACAAAGAAAAATCTATTCCTCCTCTAAATGAAAATTCAAAATTGCTTGCATAATCTGTTTTAAACACATATGAGCTCTATAAGTTTCAGGTTTCTGACCCTTGTCTTCAAGTCCCTAAACTGGACTAAAACCAGAAAAATGCCTGAGAAACCACTTCACACCCCAAACACGTGCAAACTTTGTTCAACAGAACATTTTACTGCCAAAATGGTGTTGGCAGAAGTTTGGAGCAAGGTCCCCAGGCTGCATGATTTGCTGGCACCAGAGAGCTTAAAAATCTTAACATAATACCCATGAGTTTAAGAATTACCAATTTGCTTAAGACTCCTCCCCCAAGTTTGATTTGAGAAAGATAGAAGCTATCATTGAGAAAAACTATTAATACTTTATCCTCTATGCAGAAATAATTTGATTTCCCACTCCTGATTGTCATACCTCTATATTCCTTGGTGTTTGTATTTACATAGCAAATTTAATGCAATTTATTTTGAAATGCTCGTAAATTCAATTTTATTGGGTTACTTGGGTAAAGGGGCACTGGAAGAACTACTGTAAACACACAAAATTAATTATGACAAAATTCTACTTAGAAAATATTTAACCTAGGACTGGGGTTGTGGCTCAGTGGTATAGTGCTTGCCTCACACATGTGAGGCACTGGATTTGGTCCTCAATACCACATAAAAAAATAAATAAGCAAAATAAAGTTATTTAAAAAAGAAAATAACCCAAATAATTTCCATGTATCATAATTTATTATTCTCAAAAATATAGGAGAGATTAAGATACAAAATTACCTAGATATTGCTACCATTTTACATCTGGTTCAGTCTTCTCACTTTTCTAAATTTGAGTGAGGGCAGTTTGCATTGTATATGAACAATATAGGAAAGATGCTGAGTTCTCTTCAACAAGGTCAATGAGTCTTATTTGGAATCTTTATAAGCTCAATGGTGTTTAATGAGGAAAAACTGCACCTGGATTTTAAAAGTGTAGTTAGAGAACTGGCAACTATACAACTAGCAACTTTAAACTTATGTTTGATAAATATGAGGCATTGAGAAACCATGGTTTACTCTAGAAAGTTGTATTGTGTTGTTTTCAATAAGAGACCAGATTTAAAGATGCTACTTCTTACACAGTTAAATTTTTTTTTTCCCCTCAGAGGCTCCATAGCTTTTGTGGTTTTGCTCCTCTAGAACTTGTTGTAATTCTCAGCTCTGATTTCATATTTTCATCAGCTTTGAATCTCTGCAATTGGAAGCATTGAGGACAAAATATTCTTAGGATATCAAGTTGCAGAAGAATGTAGTTTTAAAGATATTTATACAGTAGTGCTGCCACCTAAAGATGAGGTGAATAATGAAGCAATTCAAAGGAAATGACCCATCACTCTTAAACCAGTCTCCTTTTTTCACCTCTTACTAGGGATGGGTATTTTATTATCGTGATTTTCTAAGGCAGAAAATTTCAAACTCAAAACTTTTAGAGCTCTCTACGATTCTCAGCAGTTAAGCACTACCCACAATATATAAAAGGGAGCATCAGTAGAAACCTGGAAGAAATCCCAATTGAAGAATTTGTGGTTCAGTTGACAACGTAGGCAAAAGATCTGGGCTTTCCCCTTCACCTATGAAACACTTCTCAAAACTCTGGACAACTTACATTTTGGTAAGTCAGTTTTCTCATCTATAAAATGGGATTAATCACACCTCAGTCCTACTTCCCTCTCAGGATTCACTAGATGAACTTCTTGGAAGTTTAGTGAGTTTAAAAGTCTATTATTGAGGAAAGGGAAAGAATCTATTATTGAGGATTGAAATGTTAAATTTATTTATGGATATGTCAAAATGAACCCCACTAACTCTAATGCACTAATTAAAAATAAAAATTCTACTATTGCCTAAGAAAAGGGCGTTTTGTTGTGTATTTATAATGTAAGTTAAAATATAGTCAATTATTTAAGTTAGGGCAGAGTCTTAATTTTTGAAAATTATGGGTTGAGTTCTTGGAGATTTAAATAACTACAAAGATGATGAAGGCAGTTTTTACATATACTTTTTTTTTTAGTTGTAGCTGGACACAATACCTTTATTTATTTGTTTTTATGTGGGGGTGAGGATTGAACCCAGCGCCTCACTACATGTGCAAGACAGAGTTCTACCGCTGAGCCACAACCCCAGCCCTGATGAAGTCAGTTTTTGAGGAATTGTTAACTGATTAACGTTACTTCTATATACATAGTACTGCAAAAGTGAAATATGACAGCATAAAAGGAAAGGATAATCATACATAAAAGGAAAGGATTGTCAAACTTTGTAAGATTTCAATAAATCTGTCTTAAAGGACATTTTTAAATTCAGCATTTTGCCCTTGCGTAGCAATTTATGAAAATTAACTCAGCCCTTTTGCTCTCTACCTATCGGCCCAAGGACGCATAAATAATATTTATCAGTTTTGTCCTTAGTCACATTCCCTCAAAGGGGCCCAGATTCACCTAAACGGCGTGGGAGGCTGGGCAGCAACCCCACACTTCCCGTCGAGGATTCTTGAGGCTAAAGCCTGAACTTGGTCTAGCCTCTTTCTTCTTTATGCTAATTCTGCCCTTCCAGCCCCTCTCCGCGGGTGTCTGAAGGCCAAGGTGAGACCCTCCCGAGAGATGAAAGGCCTATTGCCGCCAGAGGGACGGGGCGAAGGGGAGCGTGTGATGAGGGAAGGCTGCAACCGCAGCGACCCCGTGGGCCTTAAGCTGGAGCTGGCGCAGGCCCTTTGGGGTTCTATTCCCGCCTGAGCCTGGCCTCGGCCTTCAGAAACCCAAAGATCTAAGTTCTCCCAGGTCTCTCTGGGCTGTGGGCGGAGGAAGTGCGAGCGAACTGGCTCCAGACAGCACCCTCCTCAGACGCGCCCCAAGGCCTGGGCCCGGGATGTTGACGCGCCAACGGCGGGGAAGGCGCGCTCACGCGAGCGAGAGGCGGAGGGAACGCGCTCAGCGGCCGCCGTGGCTGCAACTGAAACCTACGGACGCGAGAGCGGAGGGCGCGAGCCACTGAGGGGGGTGGGGAGCGCGGAGCGCGCGCTGACGTCGCCTGGAGTCACGCACGGAGCGCCGGGTTACGCGCCGACGTCTGGCTGCCACGACTTGCCGTCTGCGGCGGCGGCGGCGGCGGCGAGCGGATCCCGCAGGGGAAGGAGGAGGAGGAGGGAGAGCCAAGGGGGCTGTGAGTGAGCGGGAGAAGCAGGGTGTGAGCCGGACTTGCCCGTGGGAGGGAGAACGAGCCAGAGCCGAGCCAGCCATCCGAGCCGCCGCCTCCTCCTCCTCCCCTCGGCGTCCCGCCCCCGCCCGCCCTCCTTCCTTCTCAGCCCGCAGAGCCCGAGTGAGGCGCAGCTCGGCTAGCGCCGCTGTCCAGGACAGGTGTGCGCGCGCGCGCCCTCCTCCCCTCCCCCCTTCCTCGCGCCAGCCTAGCGCCTGCCTCGCGCGCACCCTCCCTCCCTCCAGACTGCGCCCTCCCTCACCTGCGGCAGGACAGCGCCCGCCGGCCCGCCCGGGTAAGCCCCTCGCGACCTTCCTTGCCGCAGCTGCCACAGCTGGAGGTGCCGCCCACCCCGTCCCCTTTAATTGCCCTCTCAGCCCAGGAATAATGATCGTACCATTGCAGACATCCCCGCACCCTTCTTCTTGGGGACCTAGGCTGTGTAGCAACGCCCCCCCCGCCCCCCCCCCCCGCGCTTCGCAGCGACGAACGAATAAACCCCCTCCACCTCCGAAAAAGAACAAAATAACATCCCTCCCCTTTAAAAATCCTACATCCGCAGGCGCTGGAGACCACCAATAATGTTCTTAGCAATCCCTGAGCCCCATTTCCCCAGACCATCTTCGCCCCGGGGCCTGGGACATTGCGCTAGACGTGGCCGACACTCCCTGAACGGCTACACAGGAAGGAGGGGAGAGAAAAGAAGATTCTGTAATTTAGATTCCACTACCAATGAACTCCTCCTCTCCTCTATTTTAAATCTACCCCCCAACCCATTGCATACACCCACCCTGGGTGCGTTGTTAAAAAAAAAAAAAAGGCAAAACAACAACAAAACCCCCCCATTGATGCTGACATCGCAGATGAAGCCAGGCCCAAGGATGGGTGGCCCGAACTAGGCATTTTTACTGCCCCACAGCGCTAGGTCAGCTCAACAACCCCTTCTACCTTTGTTCGTGGGCAAAAGGAACTGATACGAAGCTGAAGGGTCTTCCCTTTGAGCGGCAGTGCGCTATGATATTTTAAGGGAAGGAACCCGACCAGTATTTCTGCCATAAGCCTGAACTTTGGTAGAGGCCCGGAGAGACTGGTTGGATAACTTTGATTTGTAGCTGTCGACCCCAGAATAAATGCCACCTTCATTTCCGTTGCCTCTTCGGGACTTTCTTGACGGTTCTGCTTCGTTCTCATTTGGGACCCTTATGTTTCTGTCGGGCCAGGAGCTTAGGGAAAGCTTTTCTTGATTGTCTGTGCTTGTGTCCGGTGTCCTTGGTAGGGTAGTCCTAGTGCTTTACAATAGGCTTGATTGGTCGGATTTGGTTTGACATCTTTTAGTAGACTGTCAGGGGAAAAGGAAATGTGGGGATTGTTTCTAGACCACCATGCCCCCGCCCAACTGACGTTTGCGAATTGCGGCTTTGGAAATTGGAGTGTTGACTAGAGTGTGGAGAGAGTTGCTGATTTCATTCCTTTGGGTACAGCACTAGTAAAATCATTTAAGTACCTGCCGGAAGAGAGGAAGCTTTTGACATTTAAATCGGTTCTGTTTGGATCTTTGGGCAAATGTCGGGTTTTCTGAATCTTTATCGAATTTAGAATGTGTGTTAATTTTATTTAACTCTTTTCCAAATGTTTAAAATGAAGACATTAGGGAATGCAAAGGTTCTATCACATGCATTATTCTCTTCAGATTTTAAATGTTTCATATCTTTAATTCTAAACATTAGTATGGCATTGAAGAGGCACAGTTTTCAAGAATAGTGAGCTACAGAAAGGGGACATGCTTTTAAAAAATTATTTGTGAAATGCTGGTATTATGAGATGATGTTGTTAAATGTTAGGATTTACTTCAGGGTTTCCCTTAATTTTCCTGATAAATGTAGCCATGAGAAGAAATGGGTAATTCCTCCACTTTGAACATTTACAGTGCAACATTCATGTTAATTTTAATGATTGGGTATTGAAAATAATTGTCTGGTTTAGCACAAGTAGCCCTTGAAAACAAGTTTTAGTGTTCACTTTTATTTTGGAAATGTGTGCTTTCGTAAAATACTAATCAGCAAATTGTTTCTGTTGGGAACTCTATAACCCAAAGGGTTTAACTACCCAAAGGTAGATACCCTCTCTTTCACAAGTTTATTTTATAAATGTGGGTTGATTTTGATTTTAAGAAAAACAAAGCTGAATTGGATTATTTCTGAATCACCTGTAGTTCAGGATGAGAAAAATTTAGATGTTTTTCCTCCTTGTTTTGCCTAATGTCTGTTTCCTTGTGCAAAAAAAATTTTTGTAACAGTTTGTTAAATACATAGTGAGATTAAAAATAAAGCAGTTTCTGTGCTCTTCAAAATGTGTGTATAGTATTAATGAAATAAAAAAATCTAGAGATGTTTTCAGGTTTTTAAATGTAAGCAAATTTTTAGGAGAAAGGGAATATTTCTTTTTGATGATTTTTCATTAACATGGTTATTTTACTGCATATTAATTAGCTGCACGTTATATTTCGTTTCCCTTTTGTCTTCCTTGCATTGTAAAGAAATTGTAAATTTAGTTTTACAACTATTTGTTTTAAAGTAACAAATTCAAACAGTTGAATACTAGAATAGGTTTTTCATTCATCGAGTATATTAGTATATTGTTTAGATAACTAATAAAATGGCTAGTAGTCTTTTAAATCCACAATTTTATAATGACTTTTCAATGTTACAGTACTCATAACTTTGAAAATCTACTTAAGGTCCTAAACTTTTTCAGACTTTTCTACAAGTTAATATTCATTCCTCCTAGACTACTTTTCATGACTACTGTACGTGTAGTCTGATGAAGCCACCTCTTACTTCCTAGTCTGAGAAAAAGCCCACACTAACAGACTTATTTTTGAAATTAACACTCTTGCTTCAGAAATGAAAATATGCTATCTAGTTTATCATTGAACTGTTTTGGAAAAGGCATTAATTAATCTTGTTACTTTTTGGATACATGTATAAAGTAGGAGAGAAACTGGCATAGAAGGGCAGAAATCTTACACATACACGATGAGTAGTATAAAATAAGTACCTATTTATGTGACAAGATCCAGGTCTCAGTCATGTGCTGATTTTTCATTTAAAACTCCCAGTTTAAGTGTGCAAATATTTAATTTATGTTCTGTCTAAAACTTAGTTGCCTCTAGTAAATTCCTAGTGACAGTCACTTCCCTCTCTCCCTCTCTCTTTTCTCAAATCAGGGCATTCCCAAACTCAAATCGCTTCAGAACTGCTGGACATAAACATTTGGGACGGAAAGCAAGAAATTTAGGCTACAAAGTTAGGCAGGAGTTAGGCAGTTTTGAGCCCGAGGTGTCTGTCCCTGGTACAGTCATCCTGGGTGCGGAAGAATGGCAGGGACTGACCAGCGGGCCCCCTTCAAAATCTCATTGATCTTGTTTCTCTCATTAAGGGAGAAGAGTTTGGTTTATCATAAGAGAAACCCTTGAGGAAGAGCAGCAGCCCTTTCTCGATCGGACTACAACAGAACTTAGCCTTAGTTTACAGTTGGTATTTATGCAGAGACCCTGCCACTCAGCCTTTACGTTCGGGGTCTATCCAGGGTCCTGATCACTGCTGTGTGAGCCCAGAGAAGACACTGCTTCTTCACACATGTATTTTTGTGTGGTAGGAAGCACTCTAAAAGTTCCTGTGTATCCTTCCCAACTGACTTAGGGATAGGGGAGAGACTGTAGAAAATAAAGCACTGAGGGACCCTATACAGCTAAAGGTTGCCCCTGAATTAAAAATCTATTTGTGGGGCCCAGAGCCTGGGTTTCTATCTCACAGAGTGAACCTCCCCTTCAGGAAGCCATTTCAGAGACCACTAGACCTAGGTGCATGGTTTTGAGGCTGTATCACAGGACTACCCCAGTTTGCTCTTTGGTAGCCAGGGCTCTTTGCCCTGTTTCTTCCTCTTAATGAGAACTAGTGAACTTCAGCCCAGAGCTGAAGAAGCTAATGCTGAGTAGAATGGGGCTCTTGCTAAAAGAAAAAGGAAGTCATGTCTACCTAGCAGGCAGGTTTGCCCCAAAAGTGAAAGGATATAATAGGGGACTTTGAGTGTTCCGGGAATGACAAGGCTTATCCTCTAGACTGTGCTTAGTTTTTTGATCATTAGTCTTTACTTTTGGGCAACCATGTAGTCATTTTGTTTCAATAGCTAAGAGTGGGGGAGGCAAATCTCCTTACTTTTGAAGTAAAGGAGGAGATGTTCAATGGGAGTGGAAACCACAGATGGATCGAGGCAGCAATCCTTGCTTGATTAAGCCAGGACTAAGACTGCATGATCTGTGTGCTCAGCCCCCTGCAGAACGTGATGGGGAGTATGGTAGGGGTTCCCTGAAAATAGGCCTTAGCTTTCTCACAGCTATGAGGGCTGCACACTGCAGTGAGGGAGTTATAAGCATTCACTACCTATCTGGGAGTTGGAAAATAGGGCCTAGATTATGCATCAGATCTGGGAAGAAAGAAACCAATTATTTCTGAGACTCCTCTTACTCTTCAGCCTCTTTCTGTTATGAGAGAAGATCCCCTTTAGCTGTCACCGTCCAAAGAGTCATTGGTTAATTAATGGTCGGTAACCTAGCTGTCTGCATTAAAACCAGCGATCATTTAATGTTTTACTTTTGGGGGGGATGGAGGCCCTCCTTGACACTTATGAAGGAAGAGTAAAAGGGGCAAGCGAACCTGCTTTAATGAATCCCGTAAGGAACTGCGTTTCCCAGGAAATTCCTGACATTTTTAGCTCATGAATTTCCGAAAGCCTGCTTGGTTTTCTCCTCCATTCTGGGTCCTTCCAGAGAGGAAAAAGAGTGGGCTAGGGTCTGAATGCCCAGCAGGGCCTGGTTCATCTGCAGAGCTGGCCAGCAACCCAGGCTGGGCTCAACCCTGAGCAGGGTGCCCCCCTTCCCCAAATCTCGGAAGGAGGAGGGGGAGGCAAGCAGGCATCCGTGGTCCCAAGGGGGGGCTGGTTGCAGGTTTTTGGTGAGTGTGGGGTTTCTTTTTGATTGCTATTTGGGAGTAAGGGTAGAGCCTATTGGAATAGGCACTGCGGGCACCCCAGCCCTGGTGCGGCTACTGTCCTCCGCTTGGCTCCCCCCGCCGGTGAGTGCGCCCGCCCGACCGACTGTGCGGGGCTGCGGTTGGGGGGAGGGGGAGCGGGATCATCTGAGGCCAGAGCCGCTGCTGTGCGCGGGGAGGGGGAGCGGCGGGAGCGAGGGGAAGGAGAGGGGAGAGACGGGCTAGGTGTCTGCTGCTCCGCGCCACTGCTGCCGGCGCCCCATCTCATCCCCAGCAGCCCCCTCTGCAGCTAAGGGTTACTACCGCACCACCTTCTTTTCCTCTCCTGCTTCTGCGGCCAGGGCTCTGCGGTAGGAGACAACCAAGCTGGGTGGCGGGCGGGCCTGTCTGGGTTTGGGTCTAGGTCTGACTGAGGCCCGCATGGGAGGGGGTGGCTGTGACTCGGTGTCCCTTCTCTGCAGTGGGCTATGTTGCGCTGCGCAGGCCCCTCCCCCCCCCCCACATCCTCTCTCGGGGGTCACTGGAAAGCAGAACTCAGGCCAGTTCCTTGTGCTTAGAATGGCAGACCCCTTCTCACCCCAATCCCCCAACTCCTTGGGCCAAGGCCGCTTAAGGTCTGGCCGACAGCGACAGCCACTGTGGTGGTGGTGGCATTGGCGGCGGCAGCAGAGCTGCGACGCGGCGCGTCCCACTCCCTCCCCACCCCCAGCTGGGGGTGTAGAGTGAGGGCCAGCGGTGGGCGCCGCCTGGCGGGCGGGCGGCCGGGGGGCTGGTATTGGGGAGGGGGCACGGGTCACGTGTTGGCGGGCGGGTGGGCGCGTACAGTAGGGCGCCCTGCTACTGTACTGGGGAGTCAGTGCCCTGTTACCGGGTCTCGTCTGTCTCGTCTCTCCCGCAGATCTCGCGAGAGTGGCTGACTGGCTGTGGGGGTTGCGGCGGCAGCAGGCGGAGCCGGGGAGGGAAAGCAGCGGCGGCTGAGGCGACTGAGGCGGCGGGCGGAGCGGCAGGCGGCGGCGGCGGCGCGGCGGCGGAGCGCAGCATCATGGCGGACCGAGACAGCGGCAGCGAGCAGGGTGGTGCGGCGCTGGGCTCGGGCGGCTCCCTGGGGCACCCGGGCTCGGGCTCGGGCTCCGGCGGGGGCGGTGGTGGCGGCGGGGGCGGCGGCGGCAGTGGCGGCGGCGGCGGCGGGGCCCCGGGGGGGCTGCAGCACGAGACGCAGGAGCTGGCCTCCAAGCGGGTGGACATCCAGAACAAGCGCTTCTACCTGGACGTGAAGCAGAACGCCAAGGGCCGCTTCCTGAAGATCGCTGAGGTGGGTGCGGGCGGCAACAAGAGCCGCCTCACTCTCTCCATGTCAGTGGCCGTGGAGTTCCGCGACTACCTGGGAGACTTCATCGAGCACTACGCGCAGCTGGGCCCCAGCCAGCCGCCCGACCTGGCCCAGGCACAGGACGAGCCTCGCCGGGCACTCAAGAGCGAGTTCCTGGTGCGCGAGAACCGCAAGTACTACATGGATCTCAAGGAGAACCAGCGCGGCCGCTTCCTGCGCATCCGCCAGACGGTCAACCGGGGGCCCGGCCTGGGTTCCACGCAGGGCCAGACCATTGCGCTGCCCGCGCAGGGGCTCATCGAGTTCCGTGACGCTCTGGCCAAGCTCATCGACGACTACGGAGTGGAGGAGGAGCCGGCCGAGCTGCCCGAGGGCACCTCCTTGACTGTGGACAACAAGCGCTTCTTCTTCGATGTGGGCTCTAACAAGTACGGCGTGTTTATGAGAGTGAGTGAGGTGAAGCCCACCTACCGCAACTCCATCACCGTGCCCTATAAGGTGTGGGCCAAGTTCGGACACACCTTCTGCAAATACTCCGAGGAGATGAAGAAGATTCAGGAGAAGCAGAGGGAGAAGCGGGCTGCCTGTGAGCAGCTCCACCAGCAGCAGCAGCAGCAGCAGGAGGAGACCGCTGCTGCCACTCTGCTACTGCAGGGTGAAGAAGAAGGGGAAGAAGATTGATCAAACTGAATGGAAAAAAACCCTACACACATGCACACACACACACACACACAGCCACACACAGAAAATATACTGTAAAGAAAGAGATAAAAATAAAAGTTAAAAAGTAAAAAGAAAAAAAAGAAAAAAAAAGAAATAACTGTTAACTCCAAGGGAGCACCACCCACAGAACCTCCACCAACTGACAGTTTCTCTTCTTGACTTGCCACCCATCGCTGGATGTTGTCCACTTTATCCACCATATAAAACAGTAAGCAGCTGCTAAAAACAAAAAACAAAAAAAAAATACAAAAAGTAATAACATTATATGAACTGTGTTTCCTACTTGATTAAAAAATATAAAGAACTGAGTGTTTATTTCCCTAATTAACCAAGAACTTTTGTACACGTTTAAGCTATTATTATTAAAAGTGTTTGCAAAATGGTCAAGATTATAATATTGCTGAATTATATAAAAGTCCTTTTCATGTTGAGCTAACATTTGACTTTAGCACAAAAAAGAGATATTTTAGAACACGTAAAATAATATTTTTAGTTTTTCTCATTTTGTTACCAAATTTCAAACCTTACATGGAGGTTATTATAGTATATTTGACACCCTATATACCTGTGATTAGAGATGTGTATATATATGAGGGCTAGGCATGCTGTGTGTCTGAGCTTTGTCTAAATGTTATGCAGAAGTTTGTAGAGTTAAAGGTACGTAGGTTTAATTCATGCAAGGTAAACAATAAGTGCTCTCTTTTATACAATATGCATTGCATCTGGACCTTAAACATAAAAATGGTCAGTGAAACTTCTGTGAACATGAAGAAATTATTAAAAAAGGCATTTAAATGAAATTTGCTAAGTTGTGATTTTTATGGTTGGAACCAAAGTTATTCAAATAGTAAAAGGAAAAAGAGAAAGAAAGAAAAAGGAAATCTCCCATATTTTTCTGCATCTGTTTGCTTTGACTGAGTAGGCGTTTTGTTATTGTGTATATGAGATGTACTTGTATTGTTCATAATATATTTTTTTTATTATATGTAGAAAGATTTTAAAAACTTAACTAACGTGCAGCAATTTCCAGTGAACCTGTACTTGGACTTCAGGTAGTGAGTCTATTTGTGGTCACTAGCACTGTCTCCTAAACTTGTAAGAGGTCTGAAGCTATCCTTTGATTTTTGCCAGTGCTATTAACTTATGTAGACCTGTTAAAAAGCAGAGCAACACAATTATAGTTATCCTACTGAGCCATGGATTTTGAGTTTTGTTTTAAAAGTGAAAGCCAAGTTGGTGTATGTAAAGGATTTCCATGTAGCTGTGGTGCTAGTTATTACTGGCTACATTATATGCTAAGTGTATTTGTGTTCCCCAAGTGTACAAGCCTTCTATCAGAGTATGTTCTATAACTCATATTTCAAAGTGTAGGGTATGAAAATGCAAAGCTTAGGAGAGCACTTTACCAAGCTAGTGTCCTCCAAACTGAAATTGTTTGTAATGGTAGTCTTTCACAGGTTTTCATTTAAAGATGTTTGTGTGCTTTTAATTGACAACTAACTTCTTGCTGCTGTATAGTAAAATATTAATATATTTTTATCATTAAACTGCTGCATGACTATCATCTTTGAGTGAAGAGAAAATGTTATAAAAAAAGATGCCTTAAACAGTACATTTTGATTTTTGATTTGGAATTGTGTAGAAAGTATTTTGGTAAAAAACAAAACAAAAAAAAAAAGGATCTCAGATCTTGTCTGACAGAGAGTTCTGGGGATGGAATTGTTTCTTGGCAAATCCAGCCATATAGATCTAACTGCTGTATGTATAAAACACCACCTGTAGGAGCGGGAAGGTATCAGTGCTTCTCACATTGTAAAGCATTTGGCCTAGGAAGGCGAAACAGTTGTCTTTTTGAAGGATTTTTTTTCTGCTGGTTCTTTGGGTTTTGATTTGATATTTTTAAGCTCCCTGGTTGAGTGTGTTGTCTTTGTTTTTGAGATCTACTGTATGTGTTGAATAACAAGCTATTTTCATTGTACTGTGCATTTTCCCATTAAATTGTTTGCTTTTAATATTCATACAATGTTAAATATGAGGTGACCGTACAGTAGTTAGGAGTTTCTTTACTTGCAAAAATCACTGGAAATGATTAAATTGCTTTTCCCCTTCCCCCAAGGTGCATTTTTCTTATTTCCATATAGTAAGGTTGAGCTTTTACAGTGCATAATGTGACATTTGGAATGCTTATCAACTGCATGTAAACATTAATAACCTGCACTTTTTTTGTCTTAAGGTTTGTTGAGCTGTTTTGTTCACTGTACTTTAACTGTGATATGGAAAAGATTGCATTCTCTGTGCTGTTACTAATTAGGAAAGAGAATTGCTTTGATTTTGTCTCTTGTTTACTATAGCTTCTTAAAAGTTAGGCCTTGTACTACAGGTTGTTGGAGTACTCTTAGATCAGTGTTTTATGGTAGCCAGCAATAAGTAGTGCAAGTCAACAAAAACACAGCAAACTTAGGCAAAGTGTCCTTTCTTTGAGATGCAAGTTCTTTCCTGAGGTTTTCTTTAGGGTCAGTTACCTAAAGCGAAGCCTTTCTTACCTATAGACGTCAGATTCTGTTTGGAATCCTACCGGATCAAGAAGCACATGTATTGTGCAGTTGTCTTTACACTCTTAACAGTTAAACACAATCTTACCAGGATTTTGAAACCATTGTCTGATTTATGGTCAGTGGATTTAAAAAGAAATCCACATACAGATCTTTTAAGACTTAAGAAGTGATCATAGAAAAAGACTTAAGTGACTGTAAAGATGCTCTTTTTTTTTTTTTTTTAAAGCATCTCACTTTACCTCCCCAAACACCCTCCCAACCTTCTCTTCTCCCCTCTCCTGTTTCATCCTGCCCCTACCTTCCCCCTCCCAGGTGCTCAGTACTTTACAAGGTTCTATTATTCAGTGTTTTATGTTGGAATTTCTTCTTGTTTTTATTTTACTGGTTGGTAAACCCTGTTTGTGCTGAAAAAAAGAATGGTATATTTGACCATATGTGTTATTCATAGAAGACAGTATGATCAAATGTGCCAAAAATAAGCAAACAAAGCTTAATTCCTGACAAGTATGCCTTATTTTTATTGATCTGCTTTGTCTTATAATTAAGGTCCAAAAGCTTGGTTAAACTGTTATTTGCCTAAGTAAAAAAAAGAAAACTTGAAATGCATTGCAATATTGACGTTCTTTAAAATGAGAGACACTGTCAAGTAATTTAATCCAGAGATCAACCACCAGATTTGAAATGCGTGTGTGTGTGTGTGTGTGTGTGTGTGTGTGTGTGGTGTGTTTAGTGTTGTTGTTGTCATTTTAATCACCAAATCTTTTTTTTAAGCTACTTTTTATTTGTACCTCCTATTTATCATGCTGATGTTAGAAGCAGCAGTCATCCAGCCACAGAGGGAGCTAAAGTTAACTAACCAGAACTGTAGAAATCATTATACATTCCTTTGACAACAAAGGAAGTTCATAAGAAAAGCCATGTCGGCTTTTCCTCTACTAGATACAGATTGGATGTAGATGATTATTTGCCAAATGGAAAAAAAGACAATGCTAGTCAGGAAAGATAGACTGTTTTCCAGCTTCTCAAAAGCCATGGAAAGTAGAAACCAAAACCAACAGGGAAATTTAAAAAAAAAAAAACTTTGAAAGTCTCACTTTCTGGTTGTCCCACGCAGGGGTTGAAATTTGATTCAAAATGGAAAGTATATCGATTTTTTTTTTTTTTAGGGCTTCACATTTAGAGATGGATAACTCTTCCAGTTTGATTTTTCAGGTAATGGAGAAAGCTGCTAGCAATTTTAACCCCTGCCTAAAGAAGACAGACAATTTCATTTGGGAGCAAATACTTATTGCCTTGAAAAATAGCACTGTAATAGCCTATGGTAATTAGTCTTAGAATAACCTTTATCCCTTTCAGACTATGCAAATTATTAAATAAGTGTAAGTGAGAATTTAATTAAAGATAGTTGATTATATTGCAATCAGATGGCATTCACGAACTTAACTGGAGCATATACAAATAAAGTCTATTAGTTTAAAGAGTTTTTTATGCTAACAGAAAAATATAATTTAGCTACCTATTCTAAAAATGGTGAATACTATTAATATTGTATAATAGGACTGGGAAGACTGCCTCCTTTTCTGAAGAGAGATTAAGGATTTTTATAATTGTTTTTCATCAAATTTTAATATTTTTGTCAAATTTTTAGGTATTTAATTTGTAAAACAGTTTGCTTTGTACTGGCATACAGAAAATAGGGTATTGATTTTAAACTTTTTGAAGTCAAGTGATCAAGTACATTTGTAATAAAAGTCAATGGATCTATATCAGTTGTACTCACTGTTTTCATTTCGTTTAATGTAGGGATGCTGTACTTTTTCTGCAGGAAAACTGAACTAAATTTGGGTGGAAGGGAGGGGAAAAGATAAATCCGTTGATGATAAGTATCTGGGAGGGTATGATGGCCCAAGCACTTTATATCATCTTTCAATCAGTTAAGATTTAGTATATTTAAAAAGATGCTAAGTCAAGTTTTTTCTTCATGGTTTCTTGTGGAACTCAATGTTTGGAGAGGTTATTTCATTCATATTTATTTCTGTGCTTTAACATTTTGTGTTTTGGCACTGTTGAAACTTTCTAAACTAACATATTTTTCTTTTTATGACATTTTGGGTTATCTGCCAGTCATGATGACCCCCACCATGAGCATGATTATTTTTATCTCCCACACATGGTTCACTCTCTTTTCTTCAATATTACCATTCATTTTTTCATGTTTTACACACACACACACACACACACACACACACAATGATTTTAGAATGGGGTTTTCTGAAATTATTGCTCTGATAACTTCCATAACTCTACATTTAAATTTTTTAAACATGAATATACTTGTAAGATTTCTTATAAAAAGTGAGGTACCAGCTCTAATGACCTTTCTTTTTCAAAGTTTTGGATATCTGAATGAGATCTTGCTTTCTATTTAAAAGGATGCTAAAACAAGAGCATCTTTAAGCAACTTAGATTTGAAATAATTGGTGATAACTATGGCATAATATTTACAGTTGATTATCCCTAATTTGAATGTCTTAATACTTTGGATATATATGTATATGTGTATGTACATGTACATATACATTTATACATATGTCTACTTTTTCATGAGAGTGGAGTAAATAAATTCACCAGTTTTTTTGTATAAAGTTAAATTTTATTAATTTTTAAATCATACCTTGTAATATTTGTTTTTCTTTATTACATGTTAACCAAATTTAGGCCATTTATAATGAAGTACACCATAAACTAAAGTGATCACATCTATTAAAATTACTGTTTTTGCCCAGCAGCATTAATTACTATAGAGTTTTCTTCGCAGAGTTTGCAATGTACTTTTAAGAAAAGCTGATTTATGAAGTTATTTGATCCTAAAATAAAGCCTAAGGCCTAGGCCATTCAACTGGCTCTTTTCAACAGAAATTTCATGATTATGGGATAAGTAAAGATAAATCTATACCTGCATTAACCTGAGTCAGGTAGAGTTTCAAGGTACAAGAACAATCAGATGAATTGTGAAAAATATGATTGGTTTTAAGTCAACAGGTTGTCATCTTTTATCTGCCAAACTGACTACCAAATTTTGATGTTAATTGGTCTGGGCAATTTATGTCTATAGAAAAATTGAATATGGCAAAAGTCACTTGTTAAAAACATTTCTCTTAAGAGTTTCATAGCTACTCATTCATTTAATTATCCATATTACATTTGGTATTTATTGTTTCTTTCCTTCCTTTTTTCTTCCCTTATCCTTTCTTCCTTCTTCCTGATGTCCTTTGCTTTTGTGGAAAATTGTCTTGTTGATAGATAGAAAGATGTTGATGATCCTCTTTGTAAAATAAGAACCAGAAATATTTTGCTCATTTTGGAATCAAGATTTTGTGTTTTCACAAATACTTTGTTTGATTGTTAATAATTTGCTTACCAATTATTGTGTAGCATTTCATGGGGAAAATTTAAGCTAAAGAGTTTAATTTTCTTAATTTCGGATCCAAGAGGTCTCCAAGTATAAGGACCAAGCCCTTGTATTCTAGAATTGTGAAAAACATGGAACTACTCTTGTTAGCATGTATGTTGGTCTAAGATGTACTAATACAGAAGGCTTCTAGGAGAATTTAGAAAAAGATATCCTTGTTGTTAGGTGGCAATTAAAGTTATGGGACAGATGATGTCTATTTATGTTGACTAGCTCAAACAGTGATGACCATCAGGTAATGATTTTTTAGGATCATACTGAAATTGAGTCAAACTCCCATTCAGCTGGAGTGGATTGGCAATTTCCAGCAGTTAAAATTGTTGGTGGCTCTTGAGCTACCTCCTTACCCTATATATCTGATATCTTGTCTCTCCTATCCTCTTTTTTCTTTGTTTCTCTCTCTTTTTCTTCTTTATTCTTGCCATAGGCCTGCCAGTAGCATTCAAGCTTACCCACTTGAGAAAGAAGTAAAGAAATCGCTGACTCCTGTCTTAGAACATAGTTAACTGGTGATCCAGAAAGATTTCTATATTTTGAGGTAATTGGGCATTTTTTTTTCTGACTGCTGTTCTCCCTATAGTTGGCAATTTGAAGAGCATCTAAATTAATGTTTGTTAAGAAATTTGCAAATTGAAGAAAGTAAGAAGTATGTGTATTTTAGGTAAGCTACTGGGAACTGAGGCTTACTGATTTGGAAATTTGAGAGCAGGAAGGGGAAAGCTGTTTAATGTGTTTATGAATGGGGGTGTGGGAGGTACCTAAGGGAATGGTTTGGAAGTAAAGTGGGAGGAATTTTTATTGGAGGTAGGAAACTAAGGTGAAGTCTGAATGAGAGTTGTTTGCTAAGAACAATGAAGTTGATCTTCACTGCAAAAGTTTCAAAAACCAGAGACAATGGGTTCCTCATTCGCTAAAAGAAAACTGTTGGTCTATAGCTAGCTATGATGCTGATGATATATTTTGCAAATCTGTTTTCATCTGTAGGATGCTTGCTTTTCTGAGACAAATTTAAGTAGCACAGCTGTGGAGTGGCATCTTTTCTGGTCAAGGCAAGTTGGTGCTAGTGATTTATTTTGAGAAAAAGATGATAAAGTTTTAAACTTTTCACAGATATCATTTGAATATATCGGTAATCCTTATCATTACAGATAAGTACATCATTATTTTCTTGGGCACTTATCACAATGTGTGGTTTACCTTTACTTTTCAAAATGGTCCTTAGGTCAAATTATTTGATTTGCAGTCTACAAAGATCCATATCCTAAGATTCTTTCTTTTAAAGAAACTTTAGCCTCTGGTTCACATAAATTTCTTAGAAGACAATAAACCAGGTAATAGTACTAAATTATAATTTTGGGTATTTTTTCTATTTCTTTTACATTTGCAGTCCTGGCAACCATTTAACATTGTGGACCTTATGAGGTCTTCATTAATACTACATTTCTGAAATTAGACAGCATACCTCTTATATTTATGTTACTATTTGTTTTCCCACTTTCTCTCTTACATTAAAATTATAGAATTCCCAAGAGTTCAGTGGTGGCAGATGTTAATTATATAATTTAGTACATTTTTGAGGTTCTTACCTTCTTTGTAGAGTGAGCTGACAGTGTTTTCTGTTCCTATAATCCCAGGGGTATTTTAAATTATTTAAAATAAAGAATTGCTGTATTTGTTTTTAAAGTTATGTAATTTTAGATATATTTGGATTAACTGTTGGCAAATTTACTATTTTAAATTTATTTCCAATGATTTTAACAAATTACTTTCAAGTTTTGTTTTAATCAGATCTCTATACATTAGTAATGAAAATCTCTTTAAATAGCCCAAAAAGGAGGTTCTGATTTTGTACTTGGAGGTAATTTCTTTTTTATAAATGTCAAGTTCATTAATAATAGAAGAATTATTTTTACATAGCTTATTTTGTAGAGTTGGCAGTTAATATAATCTTCACATTTTATTGTGTCAGATTTTAAATTATAATACAGTTACCTACTATAACTTGTTTAAGTTAGTGCAGAGCCTTCTTAAATAGCCCCTCCCATAGGAGTCATTTAAAAAGAAGTGAATTCCCAAACCTGTGTCAAGAACCAGTGATTTAAATAATTCTGAGACAAGTCTTTGGAAGGCTTCCTTGAGTCTAATCAGTGGAGATAAATGATAGCCCTTTTCCATGCTGCATACAGTTGTTAGGGTTTATAAAGTTGTCAGTATGTTAAAGTGAAAAAGCAGGAAAGTCTATGTAAAGTTGCCTATAAAATTTCTAGTTTTAATTATTTGCACTATTTATCTTTGCACTTGATTTTTTGAGAGTTAAGACTAGTCACTTTCACTTTTGTTTCTAGTCTTTTCTAGTTTCTTGCAGAATTATGTTTTCAGTATCCCACCCAAAGCAAAACTTATATGCAATTAAATATGCTTTATAAGGCCAAGAAAACATTCCTTATTGTTAGCTATGTAATACAAAAATTTGTTTTGGTAAAATTTTTAATATGGGCCTTTGTTTTGCCAATAAAATTCTTGTTAATGTGAGCTTTATGAAACTGTTTTAAACTAAACAAAATGAAAGCTTAGGAGGGGGGAGAGAGAGAGAGAGAGAGAGAGAGTGTTGTGTGTGTGTGTGTGTGTGTGTGTGTATCTATCTTTGAGATCCAACTTCCACCCTGAGATAGTCTGATTTTAGAGTGTTGTTCTGTTTTCACTTAGTGAGTCTTACTGGTTACATGCTTATAAAGGTGAAGTGGGTTGCAAGTGGCAGTTCCCTCTTTTCATGTAGTTTTCCATAATGTTCATATAGTTTTCTCATGGTTTATATAATAGAACTAGTATTGAAATAATTATATTAAATGTCTCTTTCTCTTTAGAATTCAGGATTGGTTTACTTTTTGAGGGGAAAGGGCAGCAAGGGATAAGAGACTATTTTAACCAGAGCCGGTCTTATAACCTCAAAGATGTGCTCTAGAAAGAACAAAAAGTGTACCTGTGAGCATAATTTTTGTCTCAATGAGATTGTGCAACTCCATATTCAGAACTGCAAAAAAAGAAAAAAATTAATAGGTTTGTCAATAGAAAGATGTGTTTTGGCTAAATTTGTTTTTTGTAAGTTACTGAATTATTTTATATTTCTTTTCCCATAGCTTTTTACATACCTTATACTTAAAACCAACAAGTGGAGAGGCCCTCTTTTCAAATCTGGTTTATTTTTGGAATGCCTGAATGTGTTTCTGGAGAGGGGGGTGGTGTTTTAATTCTTGACATGCTCTTCTCAGCATGTTTTGCTAGTCGTTCTGAATCTTTATGTTTGCAAATTCTGTTGAAAATTTGGTCATGTATTTAAAATGAGAATGTCCTCTCTGACATAGTGTGAATGTTTCGGACCGGATTCTATTTTGGAACATGTGGCTTTGTTTTCCATTTGAGTAGAAAGTTTTGAACTTCATCGTCCAGATTTTAGGTTTATTTAGTGGAATTATGCCAGGTGGTGGACCAGTTTTGGGAAATGAAGGTTAACAATGTGGATTTGACTCTAGATAATCATGTACTCAAAACTGTAAGTTAAAGGCTCACATCATTAGAGTTGCCTGTTTTATGTTGTCAGATCTTTAAATGTGGATGATGTTCAGCATTGTATCTATGAATTATCTATGAATTTCCTTTAGGAAAAGAGAAAAATTTAGCTTCTAAACCTTTTCTTAGAGGCTAAATTTACTACTTATGGAAATGAAAAAAATTAGAAAATGGTTTTGGGTTTTTTTTTTTTAATGGAGTTTAACCAGCTTAATTAATTCTTTTTTCATAGTTTGAAGCTCTTATTTCCCAAAGGTGAATAAAGGGAAAGGTCAGCATTTTCCTTTCCAGTTCCCTCTTTTTTAGGCAGTTTTTTGTTTTCTACCCCCATTTCCCAATCTTGATATAAAACGCATTACGGGTATCTCTCTAAGTCCTTGTAACCCTTTTTGGGGGGTCACAGTACCTTTAATAATTTGATGAAAGTGATGGACCCTCTCCTCAGAAAAAAAAATGCACATACACAGATAATTTTGCATACAACCTCAGGGGCATCACACATCTTCTGAAACCCAAGTTAAGGATCTCTGCTCTAAGTAAACTCTGTAGAGAAGATTATAATTTGATAAAATTAGGAACTAACTATTGGCTTAAAATATTTCAGATGGAATTAATTATTATTAGATGGTGGCCCCTACTAGCAAAATGTGACATTGCAACCAGCTTTGTTAAATTTTATAACATCCAGACAGAAGGAAAAAAGAAGCAAAGTTCTGAGAGCTATTCATAAGCAGTCAGGGCATCTCTAGACATGGGAGCCATTCTTGGTTCAAGACAGGGGTCAGGGTGCCTGACAATTTCTAGCAGGGTAGAGTTTGATAAACCACAATGCTCAGGATGCCAAGGGGTTAGCCATTATCTTAACCCCTTCTTCACCAAAAGAATTTAGTTTTGTCTGTTGGGAAACAAGATGTCACTAGGGAAAAAAAGATTTGCCTTACAACTTTGCTGGAACACATCAATTTGGTGATGTATGGGACACTAGTATTATTTTTGAGAAGGTGCATAAAACCAAAGTAAATTATTCTCTATGTAGAACATTATTTACTAGTAACATTTGTTTGGGTGTATTAGCTTTGACAATTTTTACCAGTAAATACTGATTTATTTAAAACTGGGAATCCAGTTTATAAATAGGATAGTTGATATATCCATTCTTTCCCCCATGTAAAGAATAGTTTAAAGATTTATGCATACTTTTTACTTTTCTCTCTTGATGCCATGAGGGGGGATCTTTGAGTCAACAACTGACAAAATGTCTTCAAATTTTAAAAATTGAGAAGCAGCACTTTAAGTCTAACTCTACACCATTTTAGTGCATGTATTAGTTTTAATAATGATTTTTGGTGCATGCCTTTGGGCTTATTCAAAAGTGTACAATAGGAAAGTATATTTCCTTTCTTAGAAAGGAGATGTTTTTCTACTTTGCAACATGTGATTACAAGAATCTTCCTCTGTGGGAAGATTAACCATGTATTGAACTACTGAAAAGTATATATTTTTAGATATACAGAAGGAATCTACATGGAGCTGCATTCAGACCTATATAGAAGTCATAGCATTCTGTATAGGACCAAAAAAGGAAGTAACATTAAACACTTAAACAGACTTTGTTGGGTAGAAATACCTTTTGATCTTGCATTGACTTCCAAAAAGAAAATGCCACAGAAGTTTGCTGAAACTTTTGTTGTTTGAATTTTCTCTGTCAGTGTATTTAGCCCAAATACAACAGCTTTGGGTTAGCACATATATAAGAATCAAAAAACAAAACTAAATATATCAGCCTGGTTTGCCAATCCAGCTTGACTGAAATAAGTAAACTAATCACTTGCAACATGAAAAACTGTCCAACTCCTCTAAGGTTTTGACCAAATAACCTTGGCTAATGTGGGAAGGCTCCCACTTTATTTCTGACCTGACAGTGAAGATTCATGCTTGACATGATTTCAAACCTGACAGTGTCTGTTTAAGGAGCCATGGTACAGTTTGCTAATTCAATCCCAGATACCTGTTGATTACCTGTGAGATCTAGAGTCCAAAGTAGCCAGCAGCCGTATCCCTGAGTGCTCTGTGCCCATCAGATATCTTAAAGTAAGCAGGGTTGGGACAGGTCACAGCTTGGGTGATTGGACCTCAGGTGCCATAGACAGCCCCAGATTCAAGAATCATATCTGCTTTCTTGGGAGTGGTCACTGAACTTATGTCCCACACTGTGTTACTTATTGTAGATGCTCTCTGTTAGAGAAGGCCCAGAGCACACATCCTAATTGCTGGTGGCACTCAGAGAGGGGGTGCTAACTCTGATGCCCTAGCCAAATTCCAGTTTAGGGATGTGGGTCTTCTTCTTGTCATTCTAATTGGAAATGTGCATCACTTCCCATTTTCCTGTTGATCACAGTGCAAACTACACTAATCTGTTTTTTTGCCCCGTCCCAAGTCTCTAAGATACTGATGTATACTATATGGGCCAAGTTCATGCCTTATCCTAATGGACAAGAATTGAGGAATGAGTAAAGCTTGGGACTTTTATGATGCTGTGGGGATGAAATCAGCCCCCTTTTGGCATAAATTAGGGAATGTGCACTGGCTGGAGGTTTCCAGCCATGAGGTATAAGCTGAATCCAATTTTCCCTCTTTTCTTATAGCATGATGAGAAAATCTGTTGGGTTTTCAGCAGTCAGGGAAGGCCGGAGTTCTGCAGCTTTAATCTGGGTAACTGAGGCTGGTTTGAGCAAGACTTTGGTTAATTAACTGGGTTCTCAGATGCCACAGACTCCGTGAGAAGTCACCATTATTTTCAATGGTTGTGATAGAATTTCCCCCTAGTAGCCATTATTTTAAGATTATATTGCAGAGTTGCTTTATTTTGAGCTTTTCGTGTATACACAATCCCAAACTGGAAGAAATTTAAAAAAAAAAAAAAGGAATCCTGCTGTGAAAGGTATATATTACTCTAGATTTTTCTTACTGTAAATATTGTAAGATTGTAATACTGTTGATATTTTATTAACCAACAAATGTTAATCTATGTGAATTCAGACTTATTTTAAATGTGCTTCTTATTTACTGTGTGTGGTCCCTGTTGCTGACAGTATTAAGTTATATTCTGATGTAAGATTAACTTTATTAAAGAATGTAAACATAATGTTTCCTTATGGGAAAACAAATAAAGTATAAAGAAGACAATTCTTTTCATTGAAATATACTGTGTATTTACACTTGCTAGACCCAGCACCACTTATAAATTTAGTACACTGTTCAGAATTTTAGTTAACACAGCTGACATGGTTGTGCTCTGTTGGAAAGCCTAAGAGTAGGTATTGTTGGAATATATGCAGTTTGTATTTGTCTGCTGTGAATCATAATGTTGAAATTTCTAATCAAGTTTGTAAGCTTTTATAGTAAAACATTTTAATGACAATTTAAAAATTTATCTTCTCTAAAGATTGGTCAAAACAAGATCCTTTCAGAAATAGAATTGTTCTTTAATATCTTTCCAAAATGACTTTGGTTAAATGGACCAGATGTGTATTAGTTAAAATTTAGAACTAAGTTGTTGATATTCTTTGAGTTTACAAGTTAATCCTTATTGGAGATGTGCCAATATACAGTAGAATATCATTAATTTGCACTGTTTGGGGACCCCATTTAAGAATGCTGAATTTTGCCAACTAAAAAGTAAGCAAATGCAATTTAAAAAGTAAATTTGAGCATTCTGTATTAAATATGTGCAGTTATTATCACATGAAGAAGCGCAGTGTGTCGGGCTGTAATATAACCATATTTGCTGTCATGTTCTCCCATCTCAGTGCTGGGAACTCACCATGTGGAAACCAAGCAAACGTGTTGTGCATCAGCCGGCTTGAGTTTGTTCAATATCAAAGCTGAAACTAGCGAGGTCTGCTGTACTGCTTATTGAAGTATTGTGATTCTTTTAGGCATTGATTCTTACAAAATATATACTGTAACAGTATACTTTGTACAGATTTAAATTTTATTTGAAAAAATGAAATAAAGTAGGCAAAAAATAAAGATGTTTATTTTTCATGTGACTATATAAACAGATCAGTCTTTTGTTTCAGTGCTTTTGGGGGCAAGGGGTCTGGTGGCTCTGATTATTTTGTGTTTGTTTTGTTTGATAGATGGAACCATCTATCAAAGGACTCAGTAGCTGGTGTGCTACTTTCCTGTTACTTATGATCATGAATGGACTGCAAACATTAAATTGCTCTCTCACACTGTAAAAGTCTATTACTTTAAAACAAATTTATTTATTTTAAAGATTTTATGTGACTTATTCCCTGTCAGGCATCTTGGGTCAGTTTTTTTTCTGATGGTGTGACAGTTGACCATCTATCACATTAAAGACAAGGCAAAACCTTTCGTATGGTTCAGGTTCCTTTCTGATGGAAGGATTTTGTTTTCTGTCATTTTAAATTTGAGATGGGTTTGGGGTAGTGGAAAGATTGTGAAAGAGCCCATATCAGAAGATAATACTCTACAGAAAATGTAAGTTGTGCTTTAATATAAGCCCCCTTTGGTCTGAGGATGTAGTACCATGGTGGATCCCTTGCCTAGCATATAGAAGGCCCTGGATTTGATCCCCATCACCACAAAAAGAAGAAAAAAGAGAGAGAGAAAGGGAAATAAAAGATTTCTTTCACTGCTTTTCTAATGAATAGAATGACAGTAAATTAAGTTAGCCATAAAAACATGGCACAGGAATTGTCCTTCAGAATAGTTTCATTGGGACCTTCTCCTAGAAGAGTAGATTATCTGACCAAAGAAAACCACCCAGTTTTGACCTCTAACTCAAAAACTAGCAAAGGCCTTGGGTATGTTTTTTCCTCAACTTGCAGAAGTGGAGTTTGAAGTTTTATTGTGGCTTTATCCATTTGGTTTATCATTCTTGATGTTTTCACTTCTCTTCCAGCTGTATATTAGAAAGACTTGGAACAAATAGATCTCCAAGGTTCCTGGCAAAAATCACATTATGAAAGTCTTTCAGGGCTGAGATTGTGGCTCAGTGGTAGAGCGCTCGCCTAGCTCATGCGGGGCCCAGGGTTTGATCCTCAGCACCACATATAATAAATAAAGGTATTATGTCCAACTACAACTAATTAACTAAATAAATAGTTTTTAAAAAAAGAAAGCCTTTCAACATTATTTAAAATATATATATATATATATATATATATATATATATATATATGTTATATATAATGTTATATATATATGACAATGAATGGTTATATTCTAAAAACTGATGCATGGCCATAGAATATCTCAAGTTTATAGTATTACAATTCCAGGCTTCCCTGGGTGAATCCCAAGACAGTTTATCATTGTAAATTACTGCTTTGTTGTTTTCTTGCTATAATGACCCTCCTTTATAGAGAACAACAGGATTGAAGTGGCTTTCATACCTGACAACCACTGACTTAAAAAAAAAAATAACAAACTTTATCAAAACATAAAGCTAAAGGTGCCACTGTTATGGAGAGGTGAGTGGGATACCTAAGAAACTTAGTTTCCTTAAGTTATGCAGTACCTCTGATTTTAGGGGATACGCAGCAGTACTTCCTGAAGAAGAGACCAGATTCTCCTCTCCTCAAAGTGAGATCAGATGGATCTCTGGGTCTCTGTCCAAGAAGAGGGCTCTGAAGAACAGGAGCTTGTGGTGAAAACTCTAGCCACCATTTCCTCCCAGTGAAAAAGTCCCCTTCCTAATTGTCCTATGGCCTTATTCTTTCAAAGACTCACAAGTGGGACCATGATAAATATGCCCAGTTGTTCATTTGGATAACAAGAAGCCTGGAAGCAAGGTCCTGCAACAGGACGGCAAGAGGAACAAGTCAGGCTTAGGATAGGTCTGAACAAGGCAAGGCTGGTAGGGCCATGGGTTTCCTCAAGCAAGGGACCCAGCATAACATGCTCAAGAACTTTTTGTCACTTTTCTTTAGCTCTTTGTTTTCTAAGGTGATATAATTGGCAATCTTTTCCTGCCCTCACCTCCAAGGGATGTAAGCTTTTATTTAACCATGTGATATGTAATTTATTTTGGCTATTTTTGCATGGTTTTTTAGAAATCTCTTTGTTCTTAGTTGTAGTAACAATTGCTTTCTAAGCAGAGAAGACTTTTTGGCTTAGGGTACTGGATTTTAGAAGAGTTTCTGCTCATTGAGAATTAGAGGAAAGAGATCTCTCTCTTTTCAGGGTCAGCTGCCAGCTTTCCTCAGAATCATACCTCCACTGTTGTCATTTTAGCACTTTCCTCCATATTTCTGGAACTTAAGTAGGAGGAGCCACATTTTTTTCCTGACAATGGAGATTCCACGTTAATTTTGCATATCTCTAGAGTGTTTCCAATATGTCAATCCAGTATTGCTACCAACATTGATTTTCATTCACTTCAGTTCAAATCAGGCTATTTGGCACTTAGATTGACAGTGAGAAAATTAAATTAAATGTTACAATTGTTTAAAAGAGTAGGATATCCCCACCTTACAGCCAACAGGTTGTCCAGTTGATTCCATCATCGTAAGCATCCTCTCCCATCCTGCTGACTCATCTCAACCTCTGTCAGTCTCTTGTGGAGACTAGCAGCACCTCCACCCTACCTCCACCTTCTGTCTCTGGTAATGGCACTAAGGGTGGGTCTATATTATCAGCATCCTAAATTTTACTAAGCCCCACTACCTTTTTATTTTCAAACGTGTGCTTAAAATACTCAAGGCACCAAGCTAAGCATTTTAACTAGGTTGTTTCATTCATTCTTACTTCAGTCCTGTGAGGCATTATTATTACCTCCATTTGACAAATGATGATGCTATAGTATAATCATTCAGAAAGATTAACATGCTCAGGGTTCCACAGTCAGAATCCAAAGTCCAGTCAGGCCCGGTGTTATACATGTGTAATCCCAGGGACCCAGGAATCTGAGGCAAGTTCCATGCCAGCCTCAGCAACTTAGCAACACCCTGTTCCAATAAATAAAAAAGACTCGGGCTGGGATTGTGGTTCAGTGGTAGAGCGATTGCCTAGCATGTGTGAGGCACTGGGTTTGAATCTCTGCACCACATATAAATAAATAAAATAAAGATCCATCAACAGCTTAAAAAAAAAAAAAGACCTAAGGATTAGCTCAGTGGTAGAGTGCTCTCCTGGGCTCAATCCCCAATACTGCACCAAAAAAAAAAAAAAAAAAAGGTGTTTCCCCTCCCCCCCAAAAAATTCTGGTAGGCTGATTTCAAAGCACATCCATGGTCTCAGTAACCCTACTATATCGCCTTCCTCTGAAGTTCGGCCTCCACATCCTCTAATATGTAGTGTCTCCCAACTTTGACATTGTCTCATCTTATGGTATATTTAGCTGGATGGCAAAGCCAGTGTTCTCTGTACAAATGAGGGTTTCTTTGCATAGCTCAAAAGCCACACTTCCTGTTTTAGAGGTTGATTCATGAATGAATCCACATTTTCATTTCTCCCTCCCTTTTATGGGGAAATGACTTAGAGCAGGTCTGAAGGGAACTGGCAAGTGGCCCTTCCAGGGCTCTCTACTGCTCTTGCTTGAAGTAAGCATAGCCCTGAGTACTATCCTTGCCTCTTCCTACCCTTTCCATAACAACCTGAATAAAAGTTTCTGTGAATGAGGCTTTTGAACTCTGTCTCATTAAGTTTTTGGTTTCCTTCTGTCTCCCAGATTCTAACTCCAGAAAACACCCTTTCTTCCTTAGAGCAGACCTTCTATGTGAGTGAGGCAGTCTCCAGGAGAGGATGTGGGTCTTTACAGATTCCCCAAACCTTTCTGTTTACCAACAATTGGTCCAGGAATTGGGTCAGCCAGAGTCATGCACTTTCCAACTCAGAGTTCTGCTTGGGCTTTTAAGTTTCTGGAGGCATTTTCCTGCACCATCTAAAATGCTGTTTCCCAGATGTTTCCTGGCCTCCAAGGAAAGGTCTAGAGTCTGTCACTCTCTAGGGGCGTCTTCCAAAAATAAAATCTCATAATTCCTTGGGACATATTGTGGTTTAAAGGATTTGTGGCATCTTTTTTTTTAATATTTATTTTTTAGCTTTAGGTGGACACAATATCTTTATTTTTATGTGGTGCTGAGGATCGAACCCAGTGCCTCGCGCATGCCAGGCAAGCGCGCTATCACTTGAGCCATATCCCCAGCCCCGGACTGTGGCATCTTTTAGAACTCTTGTCTGAAAAGCAAAGATCATAACTTGAACTCAAACCCCTCATGATTTTTTTGTAACCTCTAAAACAGTGGTTCTCAAAGTGTGAACACTGGACCAAGAGCTAGTGATTAGCAGCCCCTTGAAAATTGCTGGAAATACAAATTCTGGGATCCTATTCCAGACCTAACAAACCAGAACCTCTGGGGCTGGTTTCCTTCAGTCACCAGGGGGCCTTCAATCACCAGGGGGCAAGACACTTATATCAACACTTATATCTAAAAAAGAGGCCTATCGCTCCCTGATGAAACAAGCCCTCCAGGTTATTCTCACACTTAAGTGTGAGAACTACTGCTCTTTTTTAAAGTAAAGGTTCTTTGTCTCTTTTGAGACTTAGGTTTGAGAATCAAATGAAAGCTTGGTGCTCTCTCAGCTGTTTTTCAGAACCTGCTAAGGTCCAAGTTAAGAATTACTGCTCTGGAACTTAGAGTTTGTCCATCCCTCTCTGGCTACCACTACAAGAAGGGATAATTTGGTACTCTGTCCTATCATTGGTCTACTGTCGGATGTCACCAAGGGCATGGATCCCTACACCAGATAGCACAGGGATAAGGGCTTGCTACTCCCTGTATGTAGCCCATAGACATTAAACAAAACCCAAATGTTCAGGCATGGGCTACAGGCCAGCAGTCTGAGACCACATAAAAAGTGACTCCTTCTGGAACTGGGAGCTGTATGTCATAGCAGAACGGGTAGAAACTGCTGAGCTGTTTGTGACAGTCCTGGCTTGTGCAAATTAACTAGCCAGCACTTTTTCAGTGGTAAGTCCTAGTAGAGGAATTCCCAAG